CACACACAGAGAGAGCCTCTTTCTTAGCCCATGCCCTCCTCCCATTTCCCCTGGCTCTATGCAATCTGCCTCTCGATTCTGGCTCACCCTCCCACAAGCAGAAGAGACACATAGACATTATTGGCATGCACACGGATGTACCAGTTGAATCAGTGGCATTCAAAACAGCATTTCTTCAAAGAACCCTGGAAAGGTTCTATCAGGATCTCCTCCCTGGTTTTGATCACTGAGCATACAAGATTCCCCAGGAGACAGCTTGCCTACTTAAGGGCTGCCAAGTCTACAAGGCTTGTCTCTAGGGCCATGGATTGTCTACCGATGGCTAGGCTACTAACTCTGTTGTACATGCTCTACCCCTACTGTGAGAGACATATCTAGGCTCCCTTGCACCCTTGGTAAGGATCTGTATCAGCGCCCCCCACGATTCCTTGTGCCCTTGTGTGCTTTCCTCCTTCCCTCCCTCCCTCCACTGTCTGCTTTCCTTCCTTCCTACCTAACTTCCTTCCTTCCTTCCCCTGAAACTTTCGCCTGTTTCCTCGTCTTTCTTCCCTCCAAGGCCTGCTGGGAACTCCACACACTTTTAATAGCACCCAAGGGAGCTTGCGTAAGGAGTGGTCCAAGGAATGGGCCAGGTGGGAGGGCTCTTAGCCACTACGAGCTAGAGTGGAGAGCCATGATTTTTGTGCCCCCCCTGGGCCTGCGCTCTTGGTGGAGGCTAACCTGACCAACCCCTAGTTATGCCATCTACCGTTGGAGGCAGTATGCTTCTCAATAAGAAGATCCCTGAGGATATTTGGTGGTACAGTTAGGTAACTTTAGACTCTGGTGTTGATGGTATTCTAGTTCCAACCCACCACCCCTGCATTTTCAGCAGTTCTCAACCTGTGGGTCCCCAGATGTTGTTGAATTACAACTCCCATCATCCCTGAGCTCTTGCCTTGCTAGCTAGGGGTGCTGGGATTTGTAGTTCAACAACATCTGGGGACCCACAAGTTGAGAAAGGCTGATTTAGATGGTAATTCGGGAATGGGGAACCTGTGTGGTTCTCTGGATGTTGCTGGACACAAACTCCAGCTTGGCCAACAGTCAGAGGTGATGGGAATTGAAGTCCAGCTTCTGGAGGCCTTCAGCTTCCTCATTCCCTACACCATCATGTGCACCAATAATGCCTATGTGTCTTTTCTGTCAGAGACGGATTGCGGAGAGTCAAAGGAAACGGGAGGAGAGGTGGGGCTAGGAAAGAGGCTTCTGGGAGCTGTAAGCACCATCCAGAAAGGAGGCTCCCTGCTGTGTATCTGCATGAGTGGTTGCTCCAGATTTGATTGGTTAAAACTGGACTGGGGAACTTGTGGCCCTCTCCAACTCCAATCAATCCCACCCAGCTTGGCCTATGGTCAGGGATGACCAAAGGAGCAGCCCTGACCATGATCAGGGAATCCAACAAGAACAACACTGGGCTACAGGTTTCCCAATATAATTTGGCACCTCAGGCAGACTGCAAAATTGCACTCCCCTCCCCGTCAGGGAAGAAGGGGTGAGGGAAGATCTACACCAGGAATGAGGAAGGAAGATGGACATCAGGACCTGCTGTCCCTGTGAATCCTGCCACCTGAGGCAGTCACTTCACCTTGCTGGCCCTGGTACTGTTTCATTTATTTCACAGTGTGGTAATCAGCCAGCCCTGGCATATCTGAATGGTTGCACACATCAGAGAGGGGACGGGGATGTCTTCATCCAACATGCATGATCTTTTTGGTTCCCCCTCCCCTGCAATCACAGCCCACCAAGCCTCTGTTCATTAAGCTGTTGTCTGCACATGCGTGAGGGCTGTCTCAAATATACACACCTGGCTTAAGTTTGAATACTGCCTGAGCTAGTTGGATTGAACCTGGTTTGAGAACAAATATATCAAACACTTAATTTTTTTTTCCAAGTAGGGGTGGTTCGGGGTTTCATTTCAGATGTTGTTCCCAAGTACAGGATTTTCAAGCATTGTTGTTTGATTGCAAAGGGCCTCTGCAGAAAAGAGTCCAACTACCAGGAGCAGCAGCAAAAACAACAACAGGGTCTAGGAAGCTGCAATGAAGTTTTGTCCCTTTTAGGAAGTGATGTTGCTTCTTCTCCTTTCCAACCCTTTGCGATGACAGCTTTGAGTTATGGTCCCTGTGGAGCTTTTTCCACCCTTCCACCCCGACCCCCAGTCCATTTTCCTCCTCGGCATACCCTGTTGCAGCCTAGTTAAAAAATCCCACACTCCATAGCCTCAAATAACTTAGATTGCACATTTGGCAGCAGAGGGTCAATGTGGCTGTGTTTTCACGGTGGAAAGGCCTCTGGCCGCATATTTTTCTAATTAGGGTGGTTTCCCCCCCTTCTTCTGTTCAGCACAGTGTTCCCCACCCAGCCCCCCTTTCCCTTTTTTTGCAGCTGCGATGACACTCAGCTCTTGCCCCCTGCTTTCTCACGCTCTCCCTTGCCAAGTCGTGTAACCAGCTGGGCGGCCGCCAAGCGTTGAGGTCGGCGTGTCAACCTCCGCTCCTTGTGTACATACTGAAAAGAAGGTGCTTTTCTTTAACCATGCTCCCTCCCTCCCCACAGGCCTCCTTCCCTCCCTCCTCTTGGCTCGTGGAAGTTGGTTCCTTGTCAAGGTCACCGCTCACAGCTTAGTTTGGGTGACCCAACCTGACAGCAGAAAAATGCATTAGGGAGCCCAAATTTAGAGGGGGCGATGCCAATTCTTTTCTCTCCAATGTTTTGCAACGATTTCTCCCTTTTCTCTCCCTCCCTCCTTAGGAAGAAGGCTTCCTGTCCCTCTCCTTCCTATAACCACTCATCCCTCTGTGATTTCAACCAGTCTTTTATCAGTCCCTGGGTTGGGTCCCGCTCTTCCCTGCTGCTGCTGCTGCTGCTGCTGCTGCTGCTACAACTATCTAAACACCATACATTTAAAGCACACCTGCCCCTTAAAGAATTATGGGAACCATAGTTTACCCCTCACATGGCGACAGTTCTCAGCAGCCTTAACAAACTATAGTTCCCAGTGCACTTTTGAGGGTGGGTGTGATTTAAATTTGTTTAAAATGTATGGCTCTGAATACCAATTTCTGGAAGCTACAGGAGAGAAGAGCGCTGTTGTGCTTGTGGACTTCCCTTTGCGGTATCTGGTTGGCTACTGTGAGAACAGGATGCTGGACTTTTCATCATGGGATGCTGAGAGTGCTGAGAGGTGCTAGGAAAACCCTGTTCCTCTCACAGAACTGTAATTCCCAGTTTCCTGGGAAGAGGGGATGACTGTTAAACCACTCTGAGAATTATATCTCTGTGAGGGGGAAAGGTGGGTCTCCTAACAACCCTCACCACACTTAACAAACCATGCTTTGGGGGGGGGGAGTCATGACTGTTTAATGTGATATGATCCTGCCTGTAAATATATAGTGCAAATATGGCCTAACCTAGGTCTATTAATGTCAATGGGTCTATGCTAAGTAAAACATAGTTGGATACCACACTAATCTTCCCTCCCGTCGCCACACACTTTTGAACTGCACATTATCAGCTTTCCAACAGCACACTTGGTTCCCCTCCCCAATTCTCCCCCTTTTTTTGTCCAATTGTACAATAAAAACACACACCTTGAGACGCAAGCTTGTCAACACAGCAGTGTGGTCCCCATCCACACAGCTTCTTCCTACAGCCCTGCTCTGCTTGAGTCTCCCCTGTGCCTGAAATGTTTTCTCTCCCTCCTCAGCGGCAGGCCCGGAAACCACCCTCCAGCTGTGGCTTATTAAAGTCAGATTGTCCCTTGAGGACCAAACCAGAGCCAGGGTCATTAATAACAACTAACTACGCAGCTTTGCGTGCCAGCCTTCCATGTCACGAGGCAGGGGAAGGGGGTGGGGATGGGGGACCCCACCAGCCTTCTAATGAAGCAACACACGCACATTCAATCACATTACTCGTTTCTTCTCCTCCCTCCCTCCCTCCTCCAAACAAAATAAAACAAAACCCGAAAAACTACCGTCATGCCCACCCACTTAAATGAAGAAATAACAGGCCTCTTGAGGAGGATGTAATCTTCATAAGTTGCTCCAGCTCCCTGTTAAGGGACCTGAGGAAGCCTGTTAAAAGAGTGGAATTCACTGCTTGGGAGTGTGTGGCAGAGAGGAAGACATGGGAGGATGTACTGAAGCAGTAACTCCCTTGCGTGCATCTTTTGAAAGACCGGCTTGCCAGTTCATTTCTGGGGCACAATTCACTCTTTCTGTGGTTCCGAAACTCGTCCACCCCCTGTGGACCACTTGAAAATTGCTAGTGGTCTTGGTGGACCATATACTGGTTTTGCAGCAGCTATAATCTTCAGTGCTCTTAGGTGCTGCATTGGCTTTTAACTGAATTGCTATTGCTTCTTTTGTTTCTTAATATGTTGTGTTTTATTTGAAATGCAATTTGCCATTCCACAGCATTCAAATTGCAGTGGAATAAAGTACAATAGAAGAGATAAAAGCAGCAATAAAAACACAATGGAAAATAAACAGGTTTGCTGCAGATGGGCCACGGGCCACCTGAACGAAACTTGCAGGCCACTGGTAGTCCATGGACCAGTTTGAGAAGCCCTGCATTAGTGTTTAAAGTGCTAATTAACACAAGCCCCCCCCCCCCAATATCTCAAAGACTGCCTCCTTCCCTGCAGACTCTATTGGGCTTTATCAGCACAGGACCCCTGCCCCTTGGTATGTCCAAGCCAAAACCCCTTTAAAAGCCATCCACGTTGGTGGCCGTCATTACATCTTTTGGCAGTGAATTCCACAGTTATAAATTATTGCCTGTTCACTGGCAAAATCTACACAGGGGGGCAGCACTGATGGCTGCTGCCCACTGGGACTGGCGGAACAGAAGGCAGGGAGGCCAAACAGAAGGTGGAGCCAGAGACAATGACAAGCACAGCCAGAGCCAATGAGAAGCAGAGTCAACCAATTCTACTTTTGTCCCCACCCTCCTCTTCTTTGCTGCACAGTTCTACAAGGACAACACTGAAATGGAAGAAGCTGCCATCCCGTGGACTGGTTGTAAGAAGGGCAGAGTGTAGTTGGTCGGGCAGTGCCCTATTCTCCCTCCACTGTGGGGCAGCGACAAAAGCAAGGAGCAGCAGCAACTGCAGTCTCCATGCGCCATGTCATATTTTTACTGGGCAGTGGTGCAGATTGGGCTGGAGGAGAAGCTCTGGCCTTCACGTGAGGCTAGTCCTTCATCTAGGAGTTTGTGAATGTGGTGTTGGTGTGGGTGTCTGTGAGAGATTTATTGCATTTATATCCCATCCTTTTTCTCCAAGGAGCTCAAATGGTTCTCACCCTGATTTAATCCCCACAACAAGCTGTGGATCAAGGGGACTGCAAGGTGGTGGGGGGTGAGGAGGGTGAGAGAGTACACAGGTGTCCAACCCTCTAACCACACTGATTTTTATGTGCATTTTGGCATCACGCAACCAGTTTCTTCCCAAATAAATTTGGTGTTCAGGTGGGAGCAGGGGTGGACTTAGTAACATTGCACCCTGAGTGAGAACAACATTTCCCCCCCGTCAAGTATTGAGTAGATTGTTGTTGTTGTTGTTGTTGTTGTTGTTGTTGTGTGCTCCCTTGGTGCCCCGTGTAGGGAAACTGCCCGCACCACCCTAAATCTGGCGCTGATCGGAGTGGGAAGATCCCCTCCCCCCATCCTCCCCCCCCGCCTAGAGTGAGATGGCAAATTCATGGACAGTGTTGATACGTGGCATGGAATTGGATCCACAGATGGCATTGTGCCCAACCGCGCATATCCCAAGTCTGAACCCCACACTGTTAAAATCATCGGTGCTTTGACCACTTCTGCACCATACATCTAAAGCACATTTAACACACATTTAAAGTACATAGCTTCGCCCAAAGAATCCTGGGAACTGTAGCTTGTTAAGGGTGCTGGGAGCTGTAGCTCTGTGAGGGCTAAACTGCGACTCCCAGAAATCTTGGCTGTGGAGGGGGTGAGCCATGACTGTTAAAGTGGCATAAAAGTGCTTTAAATGTATGCTGTGGATGTAATCTGATGAGAACGGAACCGAGGAATGGTACTGTGGATTCAGTAATGGAGAGAGTCCAAGGATGCGATTCAATGTTATGTAGTGTGTGTGTGCAGTGAGGACTGCCGGTGGCCACAAGAAGAACTGGAGGAGCAAAACGAAGCCACTGAGCATAATTCTTCTGCAGCTCTGTTTCAGGGAAAATTTGCCCTTTCACAGTTGCTTAAGCGAAATGTCAGCCCCTTGCTAAACGGCTTCTGCCACATATGCTCCCTCTAAGGGAGTGGCTATAAATCAGGCAGCAGTTAGTGGGAAAAAATCAGGTTCCAAGAAGGCAAAGCAGTGGGAGATGTCTTTAAGAGAGGGAAGGGGAAAAGCTGGGGGTTTCTCCTGTGTTTGAGTTTATTATGTGGCCCAGCAGTGATGAAATTCATCATTTATTGTCAACCCTCCCTCCCCCGTGTGCCCTCTCTCTTCTCCCATTTTCTAACAGGAGACAAAGCAAGGGGGAGAAAGAAAGCCTAGTAGCAATTGCAATCAAGTCTGTGTAAATTTGGCCCCTCCGTGTCCTCTTCACAAAGCTGGACAAAGGCTTCCAGGCTGGTGTCTCAGCTGGGAATCGAGATACCACAGCTGTAGCCAATGCCAACTCCGTTCCCATCAATATGGTGCGGCCCCTGGCAACCTGCTTACAGCCATCTCCCATCTTCCTCACAAAAGACGGGAGCAAACAATACCTTCTCGAGACTCTCTTGCCCACCAAAATCTTAAATATTTCATTAGATTATTCCCCCCCCCCTTTTCTTTTCTCAGCTCAGGCAGGGAAAGGAAGAAGAATAAAAGAAGCCAGATCTCAAAGCTGGAGACAGACAATAGTTTTGTTTTTGCTTTTTTAAAAGCAAGTGGAAAGTGGTTGGAAAAAGCTTCTACTTCCCATGAGGTATGTGACACATTAATTTCCATCCCTACAGTTGGTCAAACAGGTTTATTCATTTGGCTTTTTGGAAATGAGATCAAACCCTGCGCAACCTGCTTAGTGGAAGCAGAATTAGAATGTGCACACAGAAGGAGGCACTCTGGAGAAAGGTGGTTGGCATGTTTTTCTGGGAAGGTGGTTCCATAGCAAGGATGCCACAGAGGAGGTTTTACTCTGCTCACTGATGGGAGACACCTTGCTAAGAAGTGCATGGAACAGGGTGATGTCCCCAGTTCTGAGAAACGCATCCACATTTAATCAAGGGGGTGGAGAAACTATTAGGAAGGTTAGACTAAGAGGCAGTGACTGTTCCAAGGTCACTCTGTGAGCGTCATCGCTTAGTGGGGATTTGAACCCTGGTCTCTCATGTCCTATTTCAACACTCTAACCACTGCATCACACTGGCTCATAGTCGTGTCTATTCATTTCAATGGGTCTGGTCTGAGTAGGAGTAACATCTGATACAACCCATGGTTTTTATTTTTTTATATTTTATTGTATGATGGTTTTTTATCTATAAAAAACTTTGGTTGCATTTTTATTTTAATACTGTATAGAAGCTGTCTTGTGAGGTTACTCCAAAAGGTGTCTTATAACTCCAAAAGGTGTCTTATAAACCTTTCAGTAATCCAAATATGGTTTGCAAATCTTTGAAATAAAGACAGTATAATTATACAGGCACAGGCATTACTGTAGATACGTTGTAAGCTTATATGTTATATTAAACATTCTCAAGTTTTTTTGTTTTATGAGAAGCAAATTGTGATGGTCAGATTACTAACACTTCAGAAGGCATGCCATTGATGCAACAATTGTGCATTAGTGGTGGATATCTATAAACATCCTCACATCATTCTGCTTTATGAGTTCTGCGATGCTTCCCCAATGTTAGCGCATTATTACCAGCTGGAGGGGCACTCTTGCACTAGAATGCAACAAAAGTTGGGACAAAGAACAACCACCCTGGATCATCTATGGTATTGAAAGTTTCAGGCATAAATTATGAGGGACATGCACTGCTGGTTGCCAACGAAGCAGTATGTCTGCCCCCAAACCTTTGCAAGGACAAACAGTGTTGAAAGAGGGATGATGTATAACCACCCCAAATACCATCACCAGCACAAATAATCATGAATTCACAATAAAAGTCATGTCTAGGAATAAGCATGAAAGGTGCTTTGTAATAAGCTCCATTTAGTAAGCTTAAGAATGCATCCTTTGGTATCCAGTAGGCATTTAACAGAGATGAAAAACTTTTTCAGTAACTGAATCAGTATTGGTTATTGCTGAACTTGACTTTGCATTGTTTTATAGGCTTTTTCTTGTACTCAGTACTGTGATTCTGTGTAATGCTGGTGGTCAGCAAAAGATGTTTAAAGACTCTCTCAAGGCAAGCCTTAAAAAATGTAGTATCAACACTGACAATTGGGAAACACTGGCCTGCAAGCACTCCAATTGGAGAGCAACCTTTATCAAAGGTGTCATGGACTTTGAAGACACTCGAACTCAGAATGCAAGGGAGAAACATGCTAAGAGGAAGGCACACTTGGCAAATCCACACTGTGATCAACTCCCGCCTGGAAACCTATGTCCCTATTGTGGAAGGACGTGTGGATCCAGAATTGGCTTCCACAGTCACCTACTGACTCACTCTTAGACCATGTTCATGGAAGACAATCTTACTTGGCTACAAGTGATTGCCAAAGAAGAAAAAGTCTGCAGCAAAATGTGTATATTGGTGAGTTTTTTGTTGAATTTTTAAACACAATGTTATTAATTTCCCTCTTTTATTTACATTAAGACTGTATTGTTCTTTGGAATGGTTTGACCCAAGTTCATGCATTTTGTTTGATTTAAGTAATTTAGTGCTGTGATGAATACACTTTTGAAAATGGGGCGGGGGAGGATGTCTTAACAGGTCAGCATTCAAAGAAGGGCAGAGAGGCTCTAGCAATGATGACTGGAATGATAAAAGGTATTACAAATACACAAGTGTCCTTATTTCACTTTGTGAATAGATGGAGATGTGGCATTCCGTCTGCCAAATAAGCATTCTATCTTCTTTAGCATCAGGAAGAAATGCAGATGGTTGTCTCATTCCGCCTTTGGTTGATTGTCATCCAATGCCCTTTTAAAATGTGGGGTTTTTAAATTTTTTGGTGTGGTGGTTAATTCGGTTGTTTCTGTTTTTATTTTGATTATGTATTCTGTATTTTTATATTGTGATTTTATCTTGTGAACCACCCAGAGACCTGCAGGTGTAGGGCGGTATACAAATTTTAATAATAATAATAAAAATAAATAATTTATTATTATTATTCTGGTCCCCCCCCAGATTATATAGTTTAACTTTACCCAGTAGGTAACCTTTCAAATGAGCTAAGGTTAACCAAAATATCCAGTTTCATCTCTTAAACACGTCTTAATAACTTTGCCACTCCATATTGCTAAATGACCTCAAATGGCGCTCTCTTCTCTCTCCTCCTCGCCTTCCCCTTAGCTGTCCCCCTTCAACATCACTTGGCTTGGGTTTAAGTTGGCTTCAAGTGATAGCACAATAGCATCTTGCATTCTTTGTTTCACCCTTGATTTATCCACCCTCTTGAAGGACTCTAATGAATAATTCAGAATGATGTGAGATTATGGGAAGGGTCTTGCTCCCCTCCATCACCCTCCTCCTCTCCAACCTTTAAGCCCTTACTCCCCCCCACCCCACCCACACAGCGACCAAGAGGACTGCCCCTCGACCCCTCTTTGCTGTCAGTTTGATAAATATAATCTATTGCCAATTAAAACCTCGTTCGCTGTCTCTCCTCGCGCAAGGGAGCACCTCGTTAACGTCTTCTTAGTAGGGTGACTCCCAGGAACTCTAGCAATTATTGATTGCAGATAATAGAAGGCTTGTATGTCCCCCCACCCCACCCCCACCCTGGGTCAGTTCAGCAATGCACATTGGCATGTAAATAGGTTATTCACCCAACATTACTTTTTGATAGAAAAATGACCACGGAATGCTTTGATTTTGGACCTTCTCTTGTTCCTATGCTCACAATGAAATCAATGGTCTCATTGCAGTGCAAAAACTCCCTCCAGCTTTATTTATAATTTAACTCTCCTCTTTTCTCCCCATCCCCACTCCTTAACAACACCATTGCATTTTCAGATACAAACTTTCTGATAAACTGCTATTTGTTTTCAAAAAGTGAAGTAACTAAAATAATGTACACTGAAAATAATGTACACTGGATGCATACCATAGACATCACACTTGATTAGTGGGACTTTGAGGTTAAATGGCCATTGGACAGTGTGGTATAGCAGATAGAGTAGCCTTGTACTGGGGAGACATTGGCTGAAATCCGTACTCACCCTAGAGCTAACTAGGATAACTTGGGCCAGGCTATCTATCAGCCAAACCTACCTTATAGGACTGTGAGGATAACATGGGAAGAAATCTAGGCATGAGCCAAGCTAGACCCTGTGTTTGTCATCTGAGGTCCTTTTCTCCATGCACCCCTATTCTGAGGGCTTTTTCAGTTGTGCTTATGGAATGCTCTCCCCAGGGAGCCACGCCTGGAGCAATTATTGCCTGTTTTTAGGCACCAGCAAAAAACATTTTTATTTATTCAGGCTTTGTCTTTTAATTTGGGGGATAATGTCCATGGCCTCTTTTTATTGTTCATTCTTTTAGTGGTGTGGGTTGAATCTGTCCTTTTTTATATAAAATTATATATAGGTATTTTAGGTTCTTGTTTTATTGTGGTCCTTACATTTGGTTTTAATGTTTCTTGTTCTTACATTGTAAGTTGCCTTGAAGCACTTTCGTGTAAAAAGCAATGAAATAATGATGATGATGATGATGATGTCCTCTTGAGCTCTGTCGAATGCAGTTAGTAACAGGAACAGTGGTGACCATTCAGCAAAATAGCATAGTTACACCTGTTTTTACTATCCACTGGGTGTGAAGGAGATGCAACAGGGATACCTGAAACCACTGCTAACTGAATGGCTCAGACTGAAAAAGGCAGATCTGTCTGCAAGTTCAAGGGAGCCCGCAAGGGTCAGTTTTCAGTCAACTACTTGGGATGCTACAGCCAAAAACAGGTATAGCTTGGTGTGTAAAATGGAAGGCTCCAGAGCTGAGTGCTGTTTAGCTCTGAGGCCCAGTCTTCAGATTTTAGTTATGTGTCTTGAGGCACAGGTTATTCATTCGCAATGGGAAGCTGAGGGAGAAGGGTGAAAGAAACACTGTGCATTCTCGGAGACTTTCTTCTCCATGTCTGTTTTTCAAGTGCAAGGGGGCAAAGGGCAGGGTCAGGGGAGAAGCCACCCAACTAATATGGGGCAACCATTCTCCCCAAGCCAAATTTAGCCCTACCAGTCATGTAAGGTGTGCAGATGTTCAGAGCAATTTTCTGCAGGCCTAGATAGTGAATAGCATAAACCCTTGCACAGAAATTGAGCCTCTAGGAGTGAGGTGAGGTCAGATACAAGTTGTCCCCTGGCAGGAAAGGCATTTATCTCTCCTCTTAGCAACTGTCTGTGCCTCTCAAAGGAGAGATCTCTTCTTTGCTTACTGCTGCCATGCACAATGAGGGTGGGTTGGTGGGTGGGAGTGAGGGATGGATGGATGGATGGATAGATGATAGATAGATAGATAGATAGATAGATAGATAGATAGATAGATAGACAGATAGATAGATAGATAGATAGATAGATAGATAGATAGATAGATAAGGAAAGCCGTTTAATAGAGTCTGGGGCAAAAGCAGGGGGGAAGCCTTCGTTGCTACAGAGCAAAACCCCTTTCGGTAACCACGGAGGTGACTTTTGCCTCTCTTCCTTTCTGAAGCTGTTTACCCCACGCTTGATTTGAAGCCCCCAGAGCAAGGATGAAGCCGCCAGGGTCTCCCGTCCTCCTCCAAATAGTTATTCTTTAACTTCGGGAAGGCCCTTGCCCTCTGTTGTTTGCCTGACTGGCGTGCCAAAGGAGACAGCAAACGGTGCGGCTGTTTATCTGCCCGTCAGTCAATAACACAGCATCCCTTGCCCCCAGAGGTCACCAAAGGGGACTGGCACCTTTAACCCGTGGAGCTCAGCTCCCTCTTTGCTCTCCTTAGCGATTCACCCGGCTGTCAGTAATTCAGGCAACTGGTTTATTCAGCTGAGATCTCCCGATTTCAAAAGATAATCTGGGAATAATTGGGACTTAAGGAACTGGTGGGAATCTTGATTTTCTCTGCTGTGCTGCCATTCACCACACACGGGTGGACATCTTATTCCGTTCTAATTTGGTGGGCTTACTGAACCAAGATGGCCGTGATTCTGCTTTGAGTGCAAACTTGCCAGTCACAGGGCAGGATTGAGAGCTGTGAAACTAGTTACGATAGCTCAAGGAGGTGTGGGAAGGGCTGCATGTAGGTTTGGGCCCATATATTTAAAGCACCATTATAACAATTAAAAAGTCATTGCTTCCCCCAAAGGACTGTGGGAACTGTAAAGGGTGCCAACCGCCTATTTCGCTCACAGAACTGCAGCTCTCAGAGTTTCCCGGGAAGAGGGAGAACTACAAAACATAGCAGTTTGTGACACGGCTCCCTTCTCACTTAAAAACAGAATTCATATTGGTGAAGGCTGGGTTCCGATTGCTCCCTTTTTGCCTGACAGAAGCGCAGCACTTTAACAGCTCAGATGGCTGATGCCTCTTTGAGGGTTCCTCCATAGGCAGAAAAGTCTGAGGATCATCAGTGCAAGGGGGGAATTATTATTATTTTTCATAATAGTGAAGAAAAGGTCCAGCAAGTTCTGCACTTATATAGGTTTGTGGGGTTTTTTTTTTTTTGCTAGATATAGCCTGATTTGAAATATTAAGATTATTTGGAAGTCTGCCACCTCAGGCAAAAAAAAAGGGGGGGGCTCTGTGGAATTTTGAGTGAGTTTCAGTGAAACTAGCAAAGTTCTTCAGGGCTAAGGATTTTCTGGTTACTAGGTATGGGGTGTACTTTGGATCTTTTCACCTCAGGCACCAAAATGTTTAGGGCTGGTCCTACCCTCAAACATGCAGGCTGGTATTTTCCTTGCCTTCCCTTCTTTGGTCATTGAACAACATGAAGTTACAGGCCTTTGTAGATCTGAACATTTTCATTACTTTGGCAGCATTAAGTTTTGTTTTGTTTTAACTTCACCAAATATGGTCGGGTGGTAGCAAATTAACACCTTTTGTGTTTTAAAGTTCAAAAGGTCTTTTCTGTTCTCTCTGCCTCCTGAAAAGCTCCGGGGCACATTACCAGCACACCGTCCCCAAAAGTTTAATATGAGAGAGAAACGTGGTCCACACTCTGAACACTGCACCCTTGACACGCCTAAGGAGAGGCAAATGCTCCTCTCTCTTTTGTTGCTGCAAAACATCCAGCCAAGAGGCGTCTCCGAAATTACAAGCCTTTCCATCATCAACTCCTAAAGTGAAAATCTCCCCATCTTTGATTTATTCCATTCTTTCCCCCTCCTTCCGCTTTAAGCGATGAAGTGATGCCCGTGGGTTTGGAGAAACCCATCTTAATAGAGTGCTGGAAATTATAAGTCAATGGGGCGATGTGCTTAAACAAAGGGAGCCCCTGAACAGGACAAATTAAACAACACCTGAATTGATGAACAAACTGGTTATTGCACAGATTCATTCTCCCTAGGCCCACCCCGTTTAAAAAAGTCCTTTTCTTCCTGCTTTCCCCCTCCTTTTACCGCCTGAGAGTCAGTCCTAATGAATAAGGTGCAATTGGAGTTTAATGGGCCGCGTCGGAGGGGCCTACCATCTGATCGCCGTGGCAACCGATCCTTTCTCAAGATTTTTTAAACAGTCTGAAATGTGCTTTTATTGTCTGCTTAAAATGTGTCATGTGAGCCCCAATGGTGGTGGGCGCTTGTATGTATCAATTTGTTTCTGTCTTCTAGGCAGCCCTTCGTGTGGGCTATGAATATATGTTGGGGGGTGGGGAGGGGGGCTCACCCAGGCACAGAGAGAATGGGCCCAGCTGATTTGGGATCCAGGGATACCAAGCACCACTATGCTTTGGAATGGTGACATATGGTCCCAATCTGACCTAAGCCGTAGCCTTTAATAGCTAAACTCGTACCTCTGCACAAGGGCCAGGCATTGTCCTTTTCTTTTAATTGCCATCTATTCATCCCATGGCCAAGTAAACTTTTCCATACCTCCTTTCTTTTTTTAAAAAAAGAGAGAGAGAGCGGGTGGGGCGGGGGCTAAGCATCAAATGTTGACCACTGAAAGAGCATGGTGGAGTGGGGATGTTGAAAGAAAGAAAGAAATAACAAAATCCACCAGCTCTTTGTGTTTGCTTTCTACTTGGTTCAAGAGACTTAACAGAAGGGGTAAGGTCACCTCTGAACCACACATCTGAAGCACATGGCTTCCCCTAGAAGCATCATGGGAACTGTAGTTTGTTATGTAGTTTTCTCTGCAAGAAAAATGCAATCAGCTTGGTGACACCCGTATTTGCTAGGCAAGAGGGCAGAACACTTGTGAGAACATCAGCTTCTTTGCATGTCAATTAAATAAAGTTCCTGACATTTGTTAAGGAAACCGCTTTGCTGGACCATAGCTCCTGTCCCAACTAGCTGTTCCAATAACATGTTGGAGACTTCACTTAACTAGCAGTTCCCAAGATTCTTTAGGGGAATCTATGTGCTTCAAATATATGGCATGGATGTACAGTGGTGCCTCGCAAGACGAAAAGAATCCATTCCGTGATTCTCTTCGTCTAGCGGTTTTTTCGTCTTGCGAAGCAACCCCATTAGCGGCTAAGCGGATTAGCGCTATTAACGATTTAGCGGCTTAGCGGCTATTAAAGGCTTAGCGGCTAAGCTGTTAAAAGGCTATTAACAGCTTAGCGGCTTTGAAAAAGGGGGGGAAGCAGGGGGGGAATGGCGAGACTCGCAATACGTTTTCGTCTTGCGAAGCAAGCCCATAGGGAAATTCGTCTTGCGAAGCGCCTCCGAAACGGAAAACCCTTTCGTCTAGCGGGTTTTTTGTCTTGCGAGGCATTCGTCTTGCGGGGCACCACTGTATTCTGAAAAACAAATTGATAGAGCAAGTGGTCTGTTCTGTGGCGTTTTTGTGGGCAATGACAAACTAGTTGCCACTCTGGCCCAGTCGTATGAAAATATTAAGGTTGGGTTTCTAAATGTGATTTCTGCCAGCATCCTTTAACTTGCAAACTATTGCCTTCCAGTGGTTAGAAAAATAGAAAGCTGTGCTATACTAAGGCTGCAAACATACAAAAACGTGTATGTCTTTCCCAAAGAATCCTGGGAACTGTAGTTTGCTTCTCACAAAGCTATGATTCCCAGTACCCTGCACAAACTTCCATTCTCCTGGTTCTTTGCAGGAATTCATGTGCTTTCTATTTTCCTAACCACCCAGCATCTCCAGGTAGGGCTGGGAAATGCGTCTACTGTATCTGAAACCCTAGAAAGCTACTACCAGTCTGTGTAGACAATACTGAGATGCTGGGGACTGATTAGCAGGTATGTCAGTTCAATTCCTATTGGTAAATGCAAATGGTTGTACCACACATTCACATATCTAGAATAGTATCTTTCACAGAGGAAAGGTTTTAGCTCAGAGGTCCCAGGTAGTGCTGGGAATTTCCTTGTCTGGAAAATCCTGGAGAGGCATTGCCAGCCATAGAATCATAGAATCCAAAACTTCATCAAAATTTGTTTGTCTGAGTTTGTCACTTTCAGTGTACAGACACAGGCTTGGCCTGGACAGTCTTCCTGTTATATACCTGCTGGGATTGACAAGGCATCTGACCCTCACCTGAATCTCATAGCTCTCCTGACAGGTGATTTGGTCTGCAGCCACAGTGTGGAAATAAAAGATGAGATTGCCCACCAAATACAAGGCACTCTACTATTCAAATTAGGCCCCAGTGTTTTTCTTACAATCCCCTTCTCAATGAATTAATCAATTTTAATCCAGCATGTAAATCCTCAAAACGTTCTTATTAGTTAATTCAAGCAAGTAAACTACTGCTCTCACTTCATTACAAACAGTATTTCTACCTGCAACACACTTGAGCAAACCTGCTCCTCAATTAATCAACTAGAAGGGTTACTGTTAACTATTACTGCTGCTATTCTGGGCTTCTGCTGCACCAGGGTTTACACCAGTGTAATAGAGTTGTAATTCAAATGCAGACAGCAACAGCTGTCGAGACATAGCAGCACCGACAGCCACTCCCATAGTACCTTTCAAAATTCTGCCATTCCCTACCAACCACAGTGATGCACATTGATGAGGCACATTCGCCCGACAAGGAAGGCACCAATTGAGAAGTGCCACAACCATGATGACGTGACCTTGCATGGTTCACACCCCTTGACACGTAATTTACCAACCTGCTGCCAGGCAGTGCCCACAGTGTTTTCTCCTTAGGAGGCTGTGTGCGGCTAAAAAGCTTCTTGTTTTCTTCTTCTCTGGCGATCACTCATAGCAGAGTAAGATTGTCTTCCATGAACACAGTCTCAACAGTGAGTCCGTAAGTGACTGTGGAGGCCAATTCTGGATCCATACGTCCTTCCACAATAGGGACATAGGTTTCCAGACGGGACCTGATCACGGTGAAGGTTTGCCAAGTGTGCCTTCCTCTCAGCACATTTCTCCCTTTCATCCCGAGTTTGAGCATCTTCAACGTCCATGAAACCTTTAGTAAAGGCTGTTCTCCAACTGGAGCGCTTGCAGGCCAGTGTTTCCCAATTGTCTTTGTTTATACTACTTTTTTTTATTTGCCTTGAGAGAGTCTTTAAACCTCTTATGTTGACCACCAGCATTACACTTTCCATTTTTAAGTTTGGAATAGAGTAGTTGCTTTGGAAGACGATAATCAGGCATCCCCACAACATGACCAGTTGAATGAAGTTGATGTTGAAGAATCATTGCTTCGACAATGGTGATCTTTGCTTCTTCCAGTACACTGGCATTAGCTCGCCTGTCTTCCCAAGTGATGTGTAATTTTTTTCAGAGACACTGTTGATGGAATCTTTCGAAGGGTTGGAGATGGCGTTTATAATTGGTCCATGTTTCACAAGCGTACAGTAAGGTTGGTAGTACAATAGCTTTGTAAACAAGCATTTTTATTTCCCTGTGAATGTCCAGGTCTCCAAACACTCTGCCCTTCAATCAGGAGAAAGTTGCAGTTGTAGAGCTCAGGCGATGCTGGATTTCGGCATTAACGTCAACCCTTGTGGAAAGACCGCTGCCCAGGTTCAGGATAAGTGATTGACATTTTCCAGCGTTACATACACCGTTAAGTTGGATTTGTGGCACTGCAGAGGATAGCCATCATGGCTAGTAGTCATCATTAGTTTTATCTTCCATGCTTGTAAGTGCTAAATTCAGATCAGCGTAATCAACAGCTGGGAAAGTCTACCTGCAGATGCATTCTTAGATTTCAGATTCACCACATACCATTTCCAAAATTTGCATGCCTGGTCTTTGTTAATCTGTTCCCATGCTCGGTTTCTTTCTCTTTTTTATTTTTTAACTTTCCCACGAGTAGACTAGGTAGGTGTCTATGGCAGTAAAAGATAATCAGATTTGCATGGGATTGGATTTTGCCTTCTGCGCCTCAGAGGCAAATTTCCCCTGCCAGAGCTTTTATTGCAGCTACTTGCATCTGAAAGCAATTGCTGTAATCTGACTGCTGAGAAGGTTTGAGGAGGGGGCTGCTGTTGGGATGATAGGATAAGGAAAGCAAGGGGTTTTTTTAAAACAAAGAGGGGGGAGATAGGAGGGTACCTGGAGCTGTTGCTACTTAACGAATGCCAGTGATATTTTCTGCATAGGCCAGGCAGATTATTATTTTAGAGCAGGCACCACGTCCCAATGTCTCTACAGAATGAATTGACAGCAGGCCAAGGAAGAAAAGCAAATGCTGGAAGTGACGTCAATACACTCGTCAAACTTCTTGACCTTTATCATGCTCGGGCGCTTCAAAGCTGCGCCTCACTGTCTTTCCCTCATTAGCTAATTACAAGGACTGTTTTCCCTGGTATCCTTTCCAAGCAATCAAACGAGCACAGTCTATAAACTAGGAAGGGAAATGACTTTCCTTCTGGATCTGAGGATGGCTCACAACACAGGGTCTGTCTTCCTGCATAATCAGTTTTATGGCACACTGCAAATGTGCATTTGCTCCTCATTGCTGCCCAGTCTGCATGTCTTTACTCCAAGGCTACACACCTTTTGGAAATCTAGCCCATTTCCCAAAGCTCCAAAAGAAACTGTGCGATGTTTTTAGCCTCAGGAAATGTTATTCTCCTTACCCTTAGAACCTTCCCTGATATCTACAAATGCAGTGTAGAATGTGGTTTCAGAAATGACTTGGGTGCTTATTTTGATTTTCCCCCCTATCATCTGTGGCAAGTACCACAACTCTGTCCTTATAACCTTTGGCACCATACACACCTTACATTTAAAGCACATCCTCTGCCCTCAAAGAAACTTGAGAACCGCAGGTTGTTAAAGACGCTGGGAGTTATAGCTCTGTGAGGGGGCAAACTACAATTCCCAGGTTTCTATTTTGTTTGTGCAGAGATGGGGATTTACTTTAATTGTATGCAGCCAAAGGGGTTGTATCCAATGATAGAGCTACTCAGAGTAGATCCACTGAAGTTAAGAGACAGGACTTAACATAGGTCCATTAATTTCAACGATTCTATTCTGGATAGACCTTAATTGGACTCGGCTCACACATTACAGCAAGGCAAACTGTGGGTTAGCATGAATAAACAAACATGTGCTCCTGTGTGGAATTGAGGAATTTGTGAGAGTTTTAAAATGGCTGTTAATATGTTTATCCCAATCTGACCATTTTTGTTCTAGCAAGCTATTTCCCTTCCTTTGTGGCAGATTTTGTGTGAGAAATATAAGGTTGAATCCGACAACGGGTATGTTTATATCAGTGGTTTAAAACCCAGCAAGGTCATTCCCCCCTGCTGCATTGCAAGCTGCATTTGCTTGGTGTTGTTCACATCAGAGAGGGCGGTAGGGTTGTCTTTACCTGATACACATGACCTTTTCTGTTTCCCCTCTCTTGCAACCCCCTGGAACTTGTATTCATAAAGTCAGTGGTCTCGAATACACACACCATTCTTAACTGTGAAGTGAATGCAGTTTAAGTTTTCTAGTGGGATTGAAGCTGGTTTGAGGGGGGAAACCCTGCATCAAATAGTGGCATTTGTCACAAAATGACAGGATCAACATGGATTGGAGCTAACATGTGTACACAGCTTCAAAAACTAGCAGTGGGAGCGCACTGGTTGTGGAGTAAGTGATAACTGGAACCGTAAGTCGTACTGAGAGTAGAACCAATGCGATCAATGGGTTTAAGTTAGTCACGGTTGACGTTTAAGCCTACTTATTTCAGTAGGTCCATTCTGAGTATGACTGAACTCACATTCAACCCATAGTACTGTGAATTACAGGATCGGATCCGCAACTACCCTAAGGCTGCGTTGCAACTGCAGAGCCAGTGTGGCACAGTCAAGAGTGTTGGGCTTGGGAGACCAGGGTTCAAATCCTCCCACAGCCATGAAACTCACTGGGTGACCTCGGGCCAGTCACAGTCCCTTGGCCTAACCTACCTCACAGGGATGTTGTGAGGATAAAATGGGGGAGAAGAGAACCACACACGACAACTTGAGCTACATGGAGGATAGGCGGGATGCAAATGTAACAAAGAAAGAATAACCCTATAACCAATTTACCTGGGAACAAGTCCTGCTGAGCTCAACGGGGCTGACTTCTGAGTAGACACGGAGTAGACACTGTGAAAGCTGAAGAGGCTGTTGGCCTAGACATGTTTTTCACAGTGATCCCTCTTGACCCACGTTGACCCGTTTCCTCATTTCTCCTCAGGGTTTTCCAACTTGCGCAGGCCTCGGACACCAGTGTCTGTTTCCCTGCTGTTTTCCACTTGCAGATTAAATAAATGGATGTTCTTAAACGGCTGCCCTTTCCACACCGTGTCACCGACCCTTTCTGAAAGCCATTTAACCAAGCGGCTCCAGGGCGGCTTCTGCGCTTCGGCCGTGTCAGAGGAGTTCAAACGCTGCGGACAAATCGTCAGCGCAACCATAGGACAAGAGAGGGCATTTTCGACCAGGCCTGGACAATACAAGCTCTGACAAGGATGGTGCTGGGGAGGAGTGCGCAGCTGAGGTATCAGGGCTCATTTGCCGGAGAGTCGCTCAGCACCGTCAAGACCACCCCACGGCATGCCCACGGCCGTTCTGGCAACGCAGAAGCTCCCCCTTCCAGAGGAGAAAGTCACTTTGGGAAAGAGATGACAGCCTCGCTGCCACACATGGCGTTTCGTCTCTTGGCGACCTCTCTCGTCAGCTCAGCTCAACTTAAATGCATGCTGGGTTTCTGTGGTGAGCGCATGCATCTTAAAATGCGCAATTTGCTCGCTCTGGGTTCTGAACTCTGCCGAATTGCACTCTTTCCCTCACCAAATCTTGCTATAAAGATGGGAAAGAAGAGGCGCCTCTGTTTCCCTGAGGAACGGAATAGCATAATAGCAGGTTAGGAATGATGCCTGGTTCGAGTTTTACCTCAGTCGCAAATTTTTTACTTCAGATTTTACTTCCAGTCTAGGTGGCCTTTCTCTCTCTGTGCCTTGATTATAGTTAACAGCACTGGCTTAATTTGCAGGCTCCTCACAAGCGTTCTTGAGGTAATTTGTGGGCACGTACATTTGAAAATGCTCAATTTGCTCGCTCTAGGTTCCGAACATTGCTGAATCACACGCTTCCCCTCAGCAAAATTGGGAACAAGAGGCTTCGATACTTTTCTGAGGAATAGTATAGCATAATGGCAGGTTGGAAATTCTGCCTGGTTCAAGTTTTACCTCTGTCACAGATTTTACCTCAGATTTGGCCTCAGCCTAGACAACCTCTCTCTGCCTTGATTATAGTAACAGCAGTGATGTGGCCTACATTGTTGTTGGGTCTTAATTAGTCCCCAAACATTCTGTAACATAGGTTGGGTGCATGCTATACATTTAAAGCACATTTCACCTTCCCCAAATAATTCTGGGAACTGTTGCTTATTAACAATACTGGGAATTGTAGCTCTGTGTTATGGGGGTGTTATTGGTTTCTTTCTGTTTTTGTTCTTGTTTTTATTATGTACCGGTATTTTGTGTTCTCATTTTGTATTTTTATGTTGTGAACTGCCCTGTGATCTTCAGATAAAGGGCGGTATAATAATAATAATAATAATAATAATAATAATAATAATGATAAAATGGATGACACTATTTGAATGATCAACAATAATAATTTGAGCATTCTGAACACTATATGTGTTACATATCCATTCATCTAGTTGTGCTCTCTGAGGCCTTTTTTCCCTGTCAGGGCCTTTGAGCCTGAAAACAACTTTGAGACAGGCAGATGTTCAACAGGTGAAACAGGTGAAACAGCCTCAGCACTTAACACCATCCTGCTTGAAAGGGCTGCATCTATTGAACTGTCACACAACCATTAAAGGCACAGGAGCTAAGCCATAAAACACAGCCAAATAGAAGATTCTGAATTAATTTATAGAATTTAATTCTTTGCAAATTGTATCCCCCCACCCTCCGGGTTAAATTTTCATACTTTCTAAGCTCTACATTTTGAAAGCAACTCTACCCCACCCCCTCCACCCCACCTCCATTCTCCAGGGGTATCTGTTAGTGAGCTTAACAGTTTCAAGATCTGGCAGATTAAAACAAGGAAATCCCAGGATGAAATTTGATACAAACAGTCTTTTGTTTCAGATGTTAAAAGAAAGAGGGCTCCCCCTCTCCCTGTTCTGCCATGGGAAAGGGCCCTGCCAGCATGTCCCTGGAAGTCATAGCTCATCTTGTTTGACAGGAGTTGAACGACCTAGCGAAATTCAAGCAGGAAACGTTGAAGAAATATTTGCAGCTTCTTAAGGAGGCAGGCCTGTGCACAGTTAGGCCGGCTGAAAGTGCATTGATTTCAATGGACTTAGATGTGCTTAACTTTGCACAGGATCGAGCTGTTTTGGCTTGTTAGGAATTCACCATGGCAGGAACAGGGAGAGGTCAGTGTCAAATCCTGCCTGCTGCCCCGCTGCATTTGCAGAGAAGGTGGTCGTCAAAGTATCAAAGCTTGAGCTGCAGAGCCAGCACTTTTGTAAGGCTAAAAGCTGGAAGACCCACACCTTATTATTTCCAAGCTCAAACCACCACTACAAATTAGGGGGCCCTGCAGGCGGGTGCTTTCCTTCCTGTGGGTGTACGCTATTTATTGTTTTATTTACTTAATGGAATTTGTATATTGCTTAATCATTAAAAGTGCCTCTAAGCGGTTTACATGGGATAAAATATGCATTAAATTTATCCATAAATGTAAAAAAAAGTTAAATCTAAAAAACACACTTTAGAAATAAAATAAGCAGTTAAAAAACACACGTAATAAAATAAAAATACATACAGTGGTACATCGGGTTAAGAACTTAATTCGTTCCGGAGGTCCGTTCTTAACCTGAAACCGTTCTTAACCTGAGGTACCACTTTAGTTAATGGGGCCTCCCGCTGCCGCCATGCCACCGCCGCACGATTTCTGTTCTCATCCTGAAGCAAAGTTCTTAACCCAAAGTACTATTTCTGGGTTAGCGGAGTCTGTAACCTGAAGCGTCTGTAACCCGAGGTACCACTGTACATATCTGGGTAGGCTTGCCTAAATGAAAAAAAAAACCACAACTCATTCGGTGACCATGGGCCAGTCATTGCCTCTTAACCTAACATACCTGACAGGGTTGTTGTGGGGTGAGGGTTAAATGAGGAGGGAAAGAGCTTCTTGCAGAGCGAAAGGTCAGATATAAATGCAGTAAAATCAATAAAAATATGCTTATCAAATCAGGTCTCTCCTCCAAACATTCACTGAAAAAAGTTTATCTTAACCAGAAGTCTAACCTTATAAAGAGATGGGGCCGGATGAACCGGTACCTTAATAGGAAGGATGTTTTACATCTGTGGAGCCACTACTGTATTTCATCCTGTGTGGGTACCCCCAAGAGGGTCCCACCTGCTGATTTTAAAGTATGGGCAGGACAATGTGGAAGAAGGTGGTCTTCCATATGTGCAAACTATCTCTTCCCCACTTTTTTGTTTTGTTTTAAAAAATCATCTTCTGACATCTTCCCCAGAATGCTCTTAATACTACTTTGACATTGATGACGTCCCCTACAAAGAATCCTGGGAACTGTAGCTTGTTCAGGTTGCTGGGAATTGTAGCACTGTGATGAAGAAAAAGCTCCCATGATCCTTTGGGGGAAAGATGTGGCTTTTAAAGTGGTACCGTATAAGAATACTTTAAATGTACGGCGTGGTTGTGACCCGTTGGAGGGTATGCCATGAGAACTGAAAATAAAGTAATAAGAATAACCTCTCCCTGTTGCATTTTTCTTCTTCTCTCCCACAGAAAGCCTTTTTGAACCAAAGCAGCTACTGCAGCAGCAATTCTTCCAATAAGTGAACTCACTGTCGCTTCAAAGAGGAAAGGTTTGGGGAGGGTCCCCCCACCACCACTTTTTGCTTCATCTCTTCATCCCAAGCAGTATGACATGGTACAAATCACTTCTGGGAAGACAAGGTAAGAAGGTATTCTGAGAGGGTGGGTCATGAATGAGGCACCAAGATCCAGAGGGGTGTGCTGGATTCACCCCAGATAAATGCTTCAGTTGTGATTTTATTTTATTTTATTACTAGTCCTGCATTGTTGATGTTTAGATTGTTTCATGATTTTGTGATGGCATGTCTCCAGACTGACACTGTTTCGTTACAAGGGATTAAAACACATGCTGGAACTTTGTTGTTTAACATGTCACCCAAGCACAAGAAATCCACTTAAATAAATAAATGGTGATGTTTGCAGTTTGGAAAGTGACAGGAAAATGCATTGGAATTTGTGGGCTGGATGAATGACTAATAGGAAGACCTATAAACACACTGCAAGAAAATTGGAATTCATGCTCATTGCTGTATAACTTCCCCGTGTGCAAATCAAAACGCATGCTCAATACAGACTGGATATAGTCTAAACCTCCACGTAAGCTTTATGCCAGCAAATCAGTGATGAATGCTTAATGAGCATGGTGTGTAGCTGGTGTGGTGGTCAGAGCAGTGGACCAGGATTAGAGGAATGGTGGAGGATTTCCCCTTCAAGGAACAATTATTCAACTTTGCTCCCAACTGCCCACCCACCCACTATATGTGCAGAATCCGCTTTCCCTTCTGATCCACTTGCCTGAGCCACATGGTTCAGCATGGTTCATTGTACTGCTGGCCTTGACTCTTATTGCAGAAACCTTAATAAATGTGCAAGGAGCCCTATGGTACATGTTTGAAAACAATAGACCATCTTAGTCCAGGTGAGATTATTGGTCCACCTAGCTCAGTGTTGTCTGCTCATGCTGGCAGCTCTTCTCAGGGGCCTGCTACCTGGTCCTTTATTTAAATCCTGTAAATGTCAGGGATTGAACCTGGGATTTTTGCATGCCAAGGGACATAGGAAGCTTTCTTATCAGACCCTTGGCTCATCTGTCTACAATGACTGGCAGCAGTTTTCCACAGCTTCAGGCAGGGGACATTCCTAGCTCTACCTGGAGTTGCTGGGGATTAAAACTGATACCTTATGCATGCAAAGCAGCTGCTGCACCACTGAGCTATGGCCCTTGCCTTATGATGCAGAAACATAGGATGCTACTTTATAGCGAGTCAGACCAGTAGCTCCGTTTGTCTACCTGGGACCTTCTGCAGGCAAAGCAGATGTTCTACCACTGAGCTGTGGCCTTTCCTGCAAGTAGGTGATCTACTATTAAACTATTGCTCAGGGTACTTTGGGCAAGGATACATTTGGTTTCTGTGGTGCCCCTGCAACTGAAAAGCACTGCAATAGCCATTGTGTCTGCCACCTCTGATATATTGCTTTTCTCCCTTGATGGTGCAGCGGCAGAGGAATTAAGCTGTTGTGTTGTTCCCTGCCCACTCCCACCCACGGCCACTGGCAAGCACCAGTCAACTCAACAGGCAATAACCCAATGCACCCTCCATTCGGATCTGCTGAAAAAACGACAACTGTATTAAACTTGGCATCCTTTTACGGATATGGTTCCCATTCCTTGGCTCCTGTCCCCTTTCACAACAAACGCCCCAAAGCAGCTTTCGACATTCTGTCCAAATGGCTGATGATGCTAAGTGGAGAGGAGAAGAGAGGAAATGGAGAGGAGGTTTAGAGGAAGGGAGGAGGGAACAGACAAAAAAAAATCAGGGTTTGGAAGACGACTCAAGGGCAGCCAGCGATGGGCATGAGAAGGCCTGTCAGCGCCGATCCTCTCCGGGAAGAGCAAACGGAAGTTGACATCACATTATCATGTTTAATGTATTCGAATTAAGGAGGTCCTTGACAGATCTGTTTCTAATGCGTGTGGGCAGGAATACAGAGTGGGGTTACCCAATTCATAGAGATATAGGGCTGTCACCAATGCTAGCCCTTCTCAGTGTAGACCCATTGATGTTAATTGTCCCAAGTTAAGCCTAACCCTGGAGATTACTTTCAGTGGGTCTACTCTGAGAAGAACGGACATTGGCAACATGTTTGACAGTGGAATGGCGGTCCTCGCAAAGTGGAGGTTTTTGAACAGAGGCTGGATGGCCATCTGTTGGGGGTACTTCAGTTGAGATTCCTGCATTGCAGGGGGTTGGACTAGATGACCCTTGGGGTCCCTTCCAACTCTACATTCCAGCTTCTGGGTTCTGATTCCCAGTTTACTGTGGTTTGTATCCAACATTAGTGCCACTGAAATGATGGACATGACTAGCTTATGTCCATTAATTTCAGTGGACTGACTCTGAGCAGGAATAACGTTGGGGGGAAAGCCCCTTATTTACTTTAATTTTTAGGCTGAGCAATAACGAAAATTTCCCAGGATGGCTTACAATAAACGTTAAAGCCATCAATAAAACAATAAAATCACAAGATCTAACAGCATAAAGCTAGCAACAGGGTAAAATCAGTATTGCACACTCACACAACAGCACTGGCAGTTTCACAGATGTGAAATTGTTGTTGGCTTGCAGCTGGGGCAGATGAAGGCATCCAGTTGGGCTGCTGCAGATGCACCATGGCGTTTCTTCTCTCTGTGCCCCTCCCAGCAGCCATTCCTCCTCTGTCTCCAGGCACTGTGGTCATCTGCAAGGCATTCCCACATGGCGGGGTTGATGTTACCAGCCTTTATGTCTTGCTTGCAGACATCTTTGTAACGCAGAGCTGGTCTGCCAACAGGGCTAGTGCCTGAAAACTTCAGTAAATATTTGTAATCACTAACCTGTGTGTGTGTGCAAAGTCGTGTGCGTGGTGCCAAACTGGGTTTTCCCCTGGGTGAAATAAAGCCTTGTTTTGCCCCTGCTGTCTGGGGACAGCATTCCATTGTAACTACTGAAAAGACCCCTTTCCCTTGCAGACACCTAAGGAGAATATGTTCTGTATTACAAAAATAATTTTGCATGGAGCTTCTTTAGGGATTATACAGTTAACTTGTTGAACCTGTTATGTGCAAGGATCAGTTTGGAAGGTGGTAGAATAATTGAGGATGGGATTGACGCTCTGCAGACCCCTTAACGTCCTTGAACTTGTGGATTGGGAGTCAGGTAGCTTCAAGCTATAGCTGCCTAATGACCTGTTTAAGAGGAACTGCCAGAATGTCCTTAGTTGATGGGGAGTGTTTTAAGGGGTGTGCTGTGACACCACCCAGGACACATCATTTGGCAGGAGCACCTGAGCAAGGGCCTTGCGTCTCAAGTTCTGGCTATGTATAAGTGGAAGGAGGAAATTATATTATGTGTTTGTGGGTATGTATCCCAACCAGTCCCACATCCCGTTCTTATAGTGGCCAACCAAGTGCTCAAAAGCACTTGTGCAAATCTCCCTGCTTGTGATTCCCAGTTACAGCCTCTTGACAGTGAAGCTGGAACATATCCATTTATGCATAGTAGCCATTAATTGCCTTCTCCTCTAGGAATTCATCAAATCCTCCTTTAAAGCCATACAAAGAGAGTATGATGAGTAAGAACATAAGGAAAGCTATCCTGGATCAGGCCAGCCTAGTCTCAAGCAAGGGATGCGGGTGGTGATGTGGTCTAAACCACTGAGCCTCTTGGGTTTGCTGATCAGAAGGTCAGTGGTTCGAATCCCCGCAATGGGGTGAGCTCCTGTTGCTCTGTCCGAGCATGCCAGTGCAAGTAGATAAGTAGATACCACTGCAGAAGGAAGGTAAACGGTGTTTCCGTGCGCTCTGGCTTCTGTCACGGTGTCCCGTTGCGCCAGAAGCAGTTTAGTCATGCTGGCCACATGACCCAGAAAGCTGTCTGTGGACAAACACCAGCTCCCTTGGCCTGAAAGCAAGATGAGTGGTGCAACTCCATAATTGCTTTTGACTGGACTTAACTGTCCAGGGGTCCTTTACCTTTTACCTTACCTAGTCTCAAGCAGGACCCAAGCCGAAGGCCACTCTCCAGCAACTGGTTTCCAGCAACTGGTATTCAGAAGCATGACAGAGGCAGAGCATAGCTATTGTGCCTAGTGGTCATCAATAGCCCTCTCCTCCATGCATTTGCCTAATATTTTAAAGCCATCCAAGTTGGCTGCCATCACTGCCTCCCATGGCAGCAAGTTCTGTAATTTAACTACAGGCGATGACCGATTAACATGCATCTGAAAGACAAAGCGTTGAACCCAAAGTGTAGAAGTGACCCCAAAGTCACAAAATATGTCACTAAAAGGGTGGAACAGGCCAAGGCATGCTTATATGCACTCCGACAATGCACGTAGGGGCCAGGAGTGGAACGCCCACACAAAATGGTCATCAGCTGTATGCGTTGCATGAAGAAGGACTTTCTTTTATCTGTCGGGAACCTTCCAACATTCAGCTTCATTGGAAGCCCCTGAGTTCTAGTGTTATGAGAGAGGGAAGAAAAAACTTTTCTCTATGCACTGTCTCCATGCCACGCATAATTTTAAAAAAAAAAAACTGCTATCATGTCACTTTTACTATTATTAAACTTATAAATTGCCTTCTATACAATCGCTCCAAGGTGATGTACAATAAAAACAGCAAAGAAAACAGTTAAGGGCAGACACAAAACAGCAGTCGTATTTAAAAGCAAAACAAGAACAAGACAAAGTGTACATCTGTGACATAGAGACCTATTCATCTAGATGCAAAAGCCCATCAGAACAAAAAAAAATGTCTTCAATTGTTTCCATAAAGTGCAAATATTGGGCACCTGTTGTATCTTAGCAGGAATGCTATCCTGCAGAACAGGCACAGACAAATTACTTCAAATCGGGCTTCTGAGATCTTTGGAAGTTGCAGGAGAAAATTTCCCACAGACTATAGCATATAAGGGATAAAGTTGTGTATTCTGTCAGTATGCCATACAAAGGTAGAATGAGGTACTGGGTAAACAACTAATCAAGGTTGTGTTTGTGTAGGCACGTGCAGACATGTTTCCAGTCCTTAAGGTTTCAGGGATAGAATTGCACTACAGACTTTCACGGGTAGAGGAGGCTGTCAGTGAGTGAACGCATGAAAA